CAATAACTGCAGAATAAACCCATTATAGGCACTGTAGATATTAAAGAAAAAACACCTAAAAACAGACCAAGCCAAACACACACTGAAGAATACACACGGCCTACTTTAATTTTTTTTTTTTTTCCTCCTGATGTGCAATTCCAGCTCAGGCAGCCTTTATTTTTAGAAGTCCTCCCTCAGAGAGCCTATACCCGAGCTGCAGCACGCAGTGAGCACGGAGCAGCTCTGCCCTGCTTTGGAGGATGACAGAGAGGTTCTGGTGGCAGCTGCCCCTCCTCAGACACTCCCCTGCCCCCCAGGTGTGCAGTGCCACCTCACCCTGAGTGCCCAGGGGTGAATCCTGCCACAAAAACCCAGCAGGGCAGGAGGGTTTCCTGCACAGGGATGGATGCTCCACGTCCTGCTGCAGCCCCAATAATGTCTTTGATGCTGCCATGCCAGGGCATTGAAACATAAACTTTAAGGAATTCAGAGATTTTAGAGGAGCTAAGATTTTAGTTAGAAATAAGCCTTACTAGAATTAATTAAAATAATAATAATAAATGAGTAGGCCTTGATGAAGTTAGGAGTTAGTAGTTAACTAATAATTGATTGCTTGTCAGCACAATGTTTAGTTAGCTGGGTTTATAATGAAAAATACACAAACTGAGAAATTGCTTTTAGGAACATAAGACAATTGTGGGCCTCCTCTGTTCTGAAACCAACTGAAGACAAGGAATGGGAGTTCTACCAAGAGTTCATCTGTCATATTGGCATTGAAAAGGTAGAAAGGTCAGAACGAGGAAGACTTCATTTACTTCCTCATTTGGGACCCCTCCCCATGAAAGGGACCACCGACCCATTTCAAGGGACAAACTATGCATGCTTAATAGCTTTTGGAGTGATTAGCATACGAAGCGGGGAATGGGTTGTACCAAAATTATGAATATGTATTTGTATTTTGGGTATCCAATACTTGTATGGATAAAAGGGCTCTGTAATCACCTGGAAGCTGTGGTGTGGATTTGGGAGCTATCCTGCATGCTACCTGGCATAGAATAAACATACACTTTCTAACTTTAAACTGTTAGAGAGTTTTTGTCTGTCACAGTTGGATATCAGTACTAGATCAATATCTATATTTTTTAATAAATCAGCATCACCCAAATGCACCACAGCCCCTTCCCCTGCCACCACCCCAGGCAGCACAGGGAGGGCTCCCCCAGCCACATGAAGGACAGGTTTTAAAAGGAGCACAACCCAGAACTCCTCCAAATATGTTTCCAAAAAAGCCCAAATATTTCCACATTGCGGCCTCAGCTCCCTGATAAGCAACTAACAAATCAGTGTACATGTTTACACTGGACATTTCAGATCTGTTAGGTAATGAGAGCTCCAAGCTGGATAAGCCCTGCTTAGATTGCTTGGAACTGGAACCACAGAATTCCGAATTTATCGTCGTGCTATCCAAAAATAAACACATTCACTCAGCAAGGACTTGTGACTCGTGAAAAATTATCAGAGTTGTGCTTTCCCAACTCACATTACAAAGCCCTCCCACACAAATACAGCCCTATTTCACTTGTATCTTCTCATCAGCTTGTATTATTTAAAACATGTGGGACATTCACACAGATGGAAAAAAAAAAATAGGTCAGGCTGGAAACAAAAGCCAAGCCATCCCGTTTTATTAGCAGCTTAAACATGCAGAACTGTAATTTGAAATTCCAAGGAAAGCAACCTAATGAAAACATTCTGAACATACAAATTAAAAAAAAAAAAACTACTGCAAATCGCTGCAACCCTAAATTGCCATGTTGCCAAATGCCTTAAACTAAAAAACAGAACTGATAAGAAGGCTTCTCCAACTGATCTGAAAATGCATGGAAAGAGCTACATTGCTCAGTGATCATATGGAATCTGGGCTATAAATCCAGGATTTTTCTAACATCAGCAGCGTGTGTAACAGTCCTGCACCTTTGAAATACTGTTGGACAATGAACAATTTGCAAAATCTTGTCCTTTCATTTGCCAAGACCCTACTTTTAAATAAATTTATTCCCTTCCTTGAACTAATATAACAAACCTCAGAAACATTTATTCACTTCCCTTTTATCTTCTGCACAACACCAATATTTACTCCCAGAATACATAAAGCCCAAATCAGTGCAGTGAATTTAATTTAGTTATTCAAGCTGAATGTCCCAAACATCATTTGATTGCTGCCACCTATTGTTGTTCCAAACATGTTGCAAGGAGTTAACCCTTTATCCAGCAACTACTGGAAGTCATGCTGGAATTCTGGCTCTGTTGCTGCTAAATATGCAACTAAATATGCAACTGCATAATTAGCATCTGTTTGGGTGTGATAATTGTAAAAAGAATGAAAAAAGGTTGAAAATTAAAGGGAATTATATATATATATGTATATATATATATACATAAACTGTTTTTTACATTATTTATTTTATATCTATTTTTAAAAATTGGGTATGTTTACACACTGACTTCTCCATTAATCTGTGACTTGGCTTTTCTCTCACAAGAGAAGTAAATCTGGAACATTCATTTCTCACACAGCCCATATAAAATGGTAATTTTAGGTTGCCAAAGGCCACTTAATTCTGTCTCCTCCTAAACACACAAGGCTCCACAATGACATCATGTTCAGGCTCATCTAAGAGGTTAAAGGACACAAAAACTATCCAGTCTAGTTTGGTCTGCTGAGTTTAAGTATTAAAACAGCAACTTTGTCACTGAATGTGGAGTTTGAGAGGTTATTTCAAAATATTAATTTTCTGAATATCGTGTAAATAAGTGAAAATAAAAACACATGGGGGGCAAAAAACCTCTTCCCTCAAACAGGAAAATGATGAATTCCAGAGGGGTAAATTCCCACCTCTGGCAAAGCATTTAAGTCTCCAAGTAAAGTTCTTTTACACACAAATCTCAAAGGCTAATTCCAACCCCCACTAATGGATTAAAGCATCCCCTACCCCACCCAGCTGTTCCTTTGCTCCTTCTCCTCTCCTGCAGCCTTATCCACACATTAATGCCAGAAATACCTCACCACAACCCAGCTAAAAATTCATCTGGCTTCCAAGTGGGAGCCAAATGAACCCAAGTGGCTCAGAGGGTCCTGGCACAGGTCCCCAGCCAGGCACTTCAACCCCTGGCAAAACTGCCCCAAAAAGGGAGCAGCCTCAGATGGGGCAAGAGGAGGGAGACCACGGGGGATGTGGCAGAGGTTGAAACCCATAAATGCCCCTGATGAAGAAGCAAAGCAGGGATGTGACACCAGAGCAGCAGGGAAATCCAGAACTCCCTCCTTTAACACCTCTCACCCCAAACCACAACAGCCACTGGGATTAAAACTGCCCAGGCACATCTTTCATCTAGCTCCAGAAATAACAGAATAACAGAATAGAATAACAGCCTTCCAGAGCAGCAGGGAATATTCCCAAATCTTCTCCCCTTCCCTTTAAGCTGTTTGCCCACCCTGGCGGAGTGGCCACACCTGACCCTTTGGTGGCCACACAGGAGGAAGCTGTCCCCTTCCTCCAAGCTCTGCACATCTGCAGGGCAGCAATAGGAGCCCTGCCACCTGCAGTGACAGCCAGAGGGAAGCTTCCAACAGGCAGCAGAACCTCCCCTTCCAGGAGCAGCTGGAATCGCTGCTGGCAATGCACAAACATGGCTCCTGCAAGAATCGCATTTCTGCCCCTGGATTTGGGAGACCAGAGCGTACAAATGACTAAAAAGCGTCACTGTGGAGGGGAGAGAACGCCCATTCCTTTCAGCAGCTGTCAGGAAATTGCATCTTAAATCCCAAGCGGGGTGAATCCAGGGAAAGCTCCCTTCTCTGCCAGCAAAACTCGGCTCTCTGACACACAACCAAAACCACGCTGAGATCTGGGCACACAGTGGTGCACCCGAGCCTCTGTGAGGCTGAAACTGCTCCCTGCTCAGGCTCTGGAACACCCTCCTCACCTGCTCTTCCCCTTAGTTCTTAGCCTAGAGTAAGGCTCAGCAGTGAAGATGCCCATGGCTCCAATGCCAAGGAGCTCTGGGGCAGGGGGAGTCAGTCCTGCAGCCTGAGATGCAGAATTAACAGCTGGATGGACATCTGGAAGCTGGTCTCCCCCAGGGAACAGCCAGAGAAGGGAAGAGAAACAGGAGGAAGGGGAGGAGAAGACAAAACTTGCTGGATCCCCTCAGATAAAAGTCAATCCTGCAGTTACACAGAATATGAGAGAGGATGTTGTGGGAAGCATCTGACAGCTCCAGCTCTCCCAAGAGGAAGTGAAATGAGCTGTTCACTTTAATTACACCTTCTGAAGGGGAGCTGCCTGCTTTCTGGACAAGAAAGGATTTAATTACCCCAAGAAAAACAATTTGCAAAGACATCAGTGCCAGCTGGGGAAGGCCTTGAGATGCAGAATAGCAGAACCTCAAGAAGGCTTTCAAAAAACACTCCCTCTATTTTTCTTCTATTTTTTATTTCTCATTTGCTATGCTATTTTGTATCCTATTTTTATTTCTTTCACTATTAACCAGACCACCACAGTAAGGACAGGATGTGCCAGGCCCACCATTATTTTCCAGGGTAAATGGGAGGCCTCATAAAACAGCAACTAGCAGAGAAGTCCTGTTCTTACAGAATATTTACCTACCTAGGCACAAAGCTTAAAATCAGAGGTTGTAATGAAAATCCTTCTCTTTGCAGAAATGCTCAAGACAATTTGTCCAATTCAGTAACTATTTGCTGCACAAAGACAAGCTCTGATTTAGAAGTCAGCAAAAAAAAAAAAAAAAAAAAGATCTGATTCAAAACTGACTCATCCATTTAGATATTTTATGCTGTCAAAGTGGCCTTGAAATTACCCACCTCTTATCATTGTTCCAGCCTGTCCTGATGGAATAATTAAGCAGCTCAGACTGCTGAGTGATATTTTTTGCTTCACAAGATGCTCAAACGTTATTTTAAATTTGACACCTGCGATCTTGATGGCCGAACTTACTGTTCACAATGTCCCCCTGCAGCTGGAGAATCTGTGGGACAGGCATGGTGAGAATTACCACATCAAACTGCTCCGGGGGCCCAGCTTTCCTGGAGACTTCCCACCTCCCATCCCGCAGGGAGATGTGAGTTACGTGCTGCTCATAGGACACGTCTGCACCTGCGTGGGAAAAGCAGCAGCTAAATACATATAGCAGGGAATTCCACAGGGAAAATGCAGAGAGAGTTATTTACAAGGGATGGAATGTCAGGAGGACAAGGGGGAATGGCTTCCCACTGCCAGAGGGCAGGAATATGGCTATTTACAAGATCGGGGTTTAAAATATCATCTGATTGAAAAGAAAAAACAATTGCACTGAAGGACCAAGGCTTGATTACTCTCAGGGCTCAAACTTTTCTAAACAGGGTTAAATTAGTCACTAAACTGTACAGTGGCTGTGCTATATGACACCTTAGGTAGTAGTTAGAAAGTTTAAACTCATTTTCCAAAGGACTCGCAGCATGCTCATATCTTTTCTCCAAAACCCAAGGTGTAGCTCACCCCCCCTGCCCCCAGTTACACAGCAGATATTCTATTTGTATAAAGACTTTTACACCTGCAGGACTTGGAAATTCACACAGCTCAACGTTTATCCACCCAAGCGACTTCCAGACATACATAAACCAAGAAGTAACAGTAAATATCCTCATCAGGGATTTAAATTGGAAAGACCATTCAAAGGCACCGCCGAAAACACAGCCATTAAAACCTTTCCCTTCACACGAAGGCATCCGAAGGCATTACCTGACTGCTGTAAAAAGTACTTGACAACCGAGGAGATGCCCTGGGGTGCCACGTAATTGCGGGAGCCGTCTCTCACCACCATTCCTTCCACGGGAGCGGTCAGTGGCATCAGGATGCCCTGAGTGACAAGCTCCTCGTAGAAGCTAGAAAGGAAGAAATACACAGGGAACACAGCTGAATACACGGAAAGACACATGAAAACTCGCTCCGTTTCCCACAGAGTTAAGACCAGCCTGACTTTCGAAGTTTTATCAGGCTGCACTTCACGGCGGGTTACGCACAGATGCGGCAATAAAAGAACAAACTACCTTGCATTGGATCTGTTCTGCTACCTGTGATGGAACTATCAGTGGCGTGACCCGGAGGCAGAGGAATGTACAGCAATTCCCAAAAGCTCTGACCACCAACACGAACTCCACAGCCACTGAGAACTGCAGGAATATTCCAGGCGCCTGAAACGCACCTGCCTTTTCGCTGCTCTCCGCGCAAATTTTTCATTTTACACCTCTGCTCCCTTCCCCAAGGCACAGGTGAGCTACCCCCGCTCCTTTCATCCCAACCCACGCGTTTCCCACCTTTCACCCCTCCACTCCCGCCCCAAATTCCGCTGGCGGGGCAACGAGCGAGCAGCTGCGGGGGTGTTACAGCAGAGCACCTGCGCGGCGTGGACCGTGTCCCACCCTCCGTGTCCCCACGCCGGGCCACCAAACCCTCCCGACCCGCGGGAGGGGCGGGATCAGCGGGATGGGGCTGGACCGAAGGGATAGGGCGGGATGGGGGCGGGATAGGGCGGGATGGGGGCGGGATAGGGGCGGGATGGGGGCGGGATCGGGGGGGAATAGGGTGGGAAAGGGGTGGGATGAGGGGGGAATAGGGTGGGAAAGGGGTGGGATGGGGGTGGGATGGGGGCGGGATGGGGAGAGCATGGGGGCGGGATGGGGAGGGATCGGGGGGGGAATTGGGGCGGGATGGGGGGGGGAATTGGGGCGGGATTGGGGTGGGATTGGGGGGAAATAGGGTGGGATGGGGGTGGGATGGGGGTGGGATGGGGGTGGATAGGGCGGGAAAGGGGCGGGATGGGGGTGGAATGGGGGAGGGATAGGGCGGGAAAGGGGCGGGATGGGAGGGATGGGGGGGGGATAGGGCGGGAAAGGGGCGGGATTGGGGCGGGATATGGGGCAATAGGGTGGGAAAGGGGCGGGATGTGTCTCACCTGAGCCGCGGCCCCGCCATCTCCGGCTCGCAGGTGACGAACTGCGCGCCCAGGTCGGCGCTGCCGCGGTCGGCGCGGGTCGTGCTCATGCGGCCCCCTGCGCGACACAGCACACCACTGGTGACACCACACACGACAATCGCCACACGCCAGGCCCAGGCCCCGGTTCGCCCCCCCACCCCCCCGTGCCGGACCCACCTGCGCCCCGCGCCTTGTCCCAGATGGACACTCGTCCCCGCGGGGCCCCGCTCAGCAGCGCCGCGCCCGCCGCGCCCGTCAGCCCCGCGCCCACCACCAGCACCCGCGCCATGGCCGCCGGACACCGGCACCGGCAGCGACACCGACACGCCCCGGACACGCCCCGGGCACGCCCCGGACACGCCCCGGGCACGCCCCGGACACGCCCCGGGCACCGACACGGGCACGCCCCGGACACGGTCCGGGTACGCCCCCTCAGTGGGCGGGGCCTCCCGCGCAGTCACAGCTTAGCCACGCCCATGGGCGGGGCGGGGAAGGCCACGCCCACCTGTGTGCCAGCGCGCGGGAACCCGCGGACACACCTGGGCTGGGCACACACCTGGGCACACACCTGGGCGCACACCTGGGCACACACCTCTGTACGGGCACACCTGGGCTGGGCACACACCTGGGCACACACCTCTGTACGGGCACACCTGTGCTGGGCACACACCTGGGCACACACCTCTGTACGGGCACACCTATGCTGGGCACACACCTGTATGTGCACACCTGTACACACACACACACGCTGCTGTATGTGCAAGCCTGCTCGGTGCACACACCTATACACACACATACACACACCCGTGTCACACACAGCTATACACACACACACACCTGTGTTACACACACGCATCCCTGTGTCATACACCCCTGTGTCACACACACCCGTGTCACAGACACACCCCTGTATTACACACCCGTGTCACACACACACCCCTGTGTTACACACCCATGTCACACATACACCCCTGTGTCACACACCCCTGTGTCACACACACACGCCTGTGTGACAAACCCCTGTGTCACACTCCCCTGTGTCACACATACCTGTGTCACACACACCTGTGTCACACACCCTTATACACACAGACACCCGTGTCACACACACCCCTGTGTCCCACACACACACACCCCTGTGTCACACACCCCTGTGTCACACACACACACCCCTGTGTCACACACACACACCCCTGTGTCACACACCCCTGTGTCACACACACACACCCCTGTGTCACACACACACACCCCTGTGTCACACACCCCTGTGTCACACACACACCTGTGTCACACACCCCTGTGTCACACACACACCCCTGTGTGACAAACCCCTGTGTCACACTCCCCTGTGTCACACTCCCCTGTGTCACACATACCTGTGTCACACACACCTGTGTCACACACCCTTATACACACAGACACCCATGTCACACACACCCCTGTGTTACACACACACCCCTGTGTCACACACATCTGTGTCACACTCCCCTGTGTCACACACGCCTGCCAGTGGTCCAAGCTGGGTGTGACCCACCCTTTCCATCAGCCACTGCCGTATCAAACCCTGCCCAGCTGGAGCTGTGGGGGTGTGACAGCTTCCAGAAGGTGCTGCTGGATCCTCTCCAACACCTGGCTGCTGTTGTGCAAGGAGCCACGGCTCAAGGTGAGCAAAGTGGGATGCTGGGCCTGGAGCAGATAGTGCAGAGGGGTGGTGACACGGCGTGCAATGCTCTGCCCCAGGAAAACAACTTCCAGTCCTCAGAGCCCTGAGAGTGGGCAGCTGCAGGAAGGATTTGGGTTGCTACCCTTACCCAGCTGCGTGGGTGAGAGTAGATGTTCCAGAAGACTTGTGATAGGCTCGTTGTGGCATGGGGGATGCCAGAACACTTGGCACACTTTGGCAGAGCTGCTTGTGCCCGAGGCACGGGCAGGTGTGGTGATGCAGGTGTGGTGATGCTCCTCTCCAAAGGGAGCTCCGAGCTGACCTCAGGGCAGGTGTTGTTCAACAGGCTCTTCCTGGAGAGAGGTGGGAGCCCCTGTCTCCCCTTCCCGTGTGTTGTGGGGCCGTCGTGGAGGAGGACACGTGCTCAGTCTGGCAGGTTTTTAAGAAAGAAAAAAAGATTTACTGTATAACTGACAGTCCAACATGTGAGTTTACAACTGTGGATTCCCATTTGGTGGGAGGTTTTCTCTTCTTGACACCGTTGCCCTCAAAAGAAGCCTCAGGAGGTTGTGTCCCCTCCTCAGCACCTCCTGCAGAGTTGGCAGCTTGTCCTATTCCCTGCCTGCTGTGGATCCCTCCCTCCAGGTTCTGCTGTTTCCCCAAAGACCCTTGGGGTTGTACTTCTGCCTCGATGGGCAGGAGATTGTCACCACCGTTTGTCACCACCATTTCTTGTGTCTTTGTGAAACGGAGATTTCTCAAACCTCATAAATATGTGGCCACCAAATGGTTCTGTGTGGGACATGTGCTTGGGAATGGTTGATGGCTCTGAGTGGTCACCTGGATTGTCACTGCCAGCTCAGCAGAGTCTCTCACATGTAGGAGCAGGCAGGAAAGCAATCACAGAGTGATAGAACCATGGAATATCCCGAGCTGGAAGGGACCCACAGGGCTCATCCATCCAACTCCTGGCCCTGCACAGGCACCCCAACAATCCCACCCTGTGTGGAGCTCTGGCAGCCTCAGGGCTGTGCCTATTCCCTGGGGAGCCTGGGCAGTGCCAGCACCCTCTGGGGGAAGAACCTTCCCTGAGTTCCAGTCTGGTACAGCTCCAGCCATACCCTGGGTCCTGTCCCTGTCCCAGAGAACAGAGCTCAGGGCTGCCCTGGACAGGAGCTGCAGCCCCCAAGGAGGTCTGACCTCAGTGTGCTCTGCTTCAGCTGAACAAACCAAGTGACCTCAGCCAGCCCCTGTGTGACCCTCCAGACCTTCACCATCATCTCCTTTGAAAGCTTTCTAACCCCTATTAGATGTAGAAGAGTATTAAGACATTATTACAATTAAAGAGTTGAGGCCAAAAGAGGAACACCAAGAGTTAAGACAGAATCCCTGGCAGTAATTGTACAGAAAATCTGATTAAACTTGAGCATGATGGGTAGTGCTGAAGTTTCCACTGCAATGGAAAAAGCTCTGTGCTCACCTGATGAACACGGGGGGGCTGCCAGAAAATGGAAGCAGGAGTGGTGCAAGAGAGGGCTGCAGGAGCTGGGTGAGAACCCTTGGATGTGTGGCATGCTCCTGCTTTCAGGCTAAACACCTACCTGAAGTATGTGCTGGTGTCAGGTGGCCCTGGATGAGGGCAGGGCACGGGGACACAGATTAGGAGCTGTGGCACAACAGCCTTACTGGAAAGGAACTGGGAAGGGTGGCAGGCCACAAACTGGACGCGAGCCAACAATGTGCTCTCCCTGCAAGGATGGAGAGCCCCAGCCTGAGCCACAGGAGCGGGCAAGGAGCCACCTGGCTGTTGTCACCCCTGTCAAGAGAGGTGACATCTGCATCCTATATCTAGTCTGGAATGCCTGGTGAGAGGGATGTGAAGATGACCCACGGAGCTGTTGGTGACCCTGCAGCAGGATGTGGATGGAGCTGAGTTTGCTGGGTCTGGCCATGCAGTGAAATTCAAAGGACTCTCTTGATCCTGATGCCTTGTGAAGGCTGACCTAGAACAGAGACTAGATGGAGCTAAAGAATCAAGGGATTTAGTAAGAGGCCTCAATGGATCCACCTTGGGCAGCACAACCTAAATGGCCACAAAAACTGCACAACTGGTCACTGGGTCTCTCACTTTGATCAGTTCTGCTCCGTTTGCATATTGGAGTCAATTGTCCAATTATGGCTTTAGCTTATGAAGTCCCATCCTTCTTGTTTTTCTCTCTTCAGCCCACGTTGTTTGTGCTCTTGGGCCTGAGATTTGGATCATTTGTCCTTGGTCCCCAACTGGAGAAGGAATTGTTTTGTCTCCCTGCTCTGTGAAGAGAGCTCACCGTGTCTTAATGTGGAGCTCAGACCTACACACTAAAGCAGCACAGAATCTGAAATATATAAAAGCTAAACCTGAGGCACCAGTCCCATTCAGTCCCTGCAGTGGTGGTGCTTCAGCAGGAGCTGCACATGACCCTCGGCAGGCTGGAGCATCCTGTAAGACCCATGGCAATGTCCTGCTCTCCAAGTGCTACAGGACTCTTTTGGGTGCAGCCTTCCTCTTGCCCCTTCCAGTGCCTTCAGGTGAGTGTGACCAGAGCTGCTCTGCCCTTTCCCTGGAGTGTAGATTTCCATGTTCTGTTTCCTCAGAAGGTGAGGAAACAGAACATGGAACCGGTGTCTTACTCTGTGCAGTGCGGCTTCAGTGCCCCAAAAACAAAGTCACCCTTCACCTCCAAACCTCTAAATTACAAACTCCAGTTCTAGTGTGTGTTTATAGAAGTGGGACAAACTGACAAATCCAGGTGCATGCCTTGGACACATCTCAGGCCCATTCCAGGCTGACAGAAGACACCTTTCCCTACTGACCTTTCACTGCAATTTCCACATCAAAACAATCTAGGAAGGAAGGGCAGGAGGCAGCCTCAGCCCTGGCACGGGTGATGGAGAGGGATAATTCTCCCTGTTGGCAGGACACTTGTAGGATAAGGCTCTTAGGTACTCCTCATACCTTCCTGTAAGGGTGTGAAGAATAAGGATGTCGTGGTGGGCTGGCACAGCTCCACCCCCCACCCCAAAGTGGGGCAGGTGGAGGGAACTGGAAGAGCAAAAGTGAAAAACTGGGTCGAGGGATAGACAAGGTACACAGTGTTGCTACGGCAACTTGGCTGGGTCCCATCCCTGTGCTATGAGGAAAGGGAACTCCATCCAGCCTGACCCAGTACAGATGTTTTCAGTCCGTTGCCTGGGATTTAATCTCCATCTCACACGTGGCATCTTTGTATAACAAGAAACATCATCATTTCTAAACAACAGCTATGGGAAGTCCACTTTAGATCTTGATCTTTCCTTGCAATAACTTAATTATGGCTGTTGTAATAAATAAATAAAACCACCATTGAAATGGGAAGCTGGAAACTTTCTTCAGCAGTACCAATTAAACCACTTTATCAATGGAAATCACCTCCAAACATCCACAGTCATTTGACTCTGCCTAAACAATATTTAACCAGCCTCCACAAACAAATTCTGGGCAATTGTACTTTCTAAACTGTTGTGTTGCCTAACAATTTATATGTCCTGTATCCCAGGGTGTTTACACTTGCCACCCCACCCTGCAGCCAGTTCAAATAGGGCTGTCTCCAGAGGGGCACAGAGCATTGCTCCATGCACCAGCCAGGGGTGAGAACCCATCCTCTGGCACTGCCCTGTGCCACATCTCCATCTCCTCCGGGCTGGGCATCTCTTCCCTGCACTGCCCATCCTCTCCAGGGGCTGGCAGGTCCCTGTCTCCTCCTGCAGAAGCTGTGCCACCTCTCAGCTGGGCTGGCTGCCTTCCCTTCTGCACAGGTGAGTGTGGAAAAAGCATGGCTAGAGCCTGGACAGGTGAGTGTGGGAAAAGCATGGCTGGAGCCTGGACAGGTGAGTGTGGGAAAAGCATGGCTGGAGCCGGGTCTAAACGTGCCTGTGAATGGCACTTCCAGCCCATGCTTGCCTCAGAACAGGGGATCAAAACCTGATTGCTAGGTCGGTTCTAGAGGCTTGTCCAGCCCAGTTTTTCTTGTGGTGTCCAATGTTAGGGTTGTTGGAGGGAGCAGTCCTGCCCAGACCTTTCAGTACCTGTCTGTGGTGCCTCCTGCCCATAGCTGTGTGCAAAACCTGATTGTCTCCTGCCCATAGCTGTGTGCAAAACCTGCTGTTCCCATCGGCCTCCCCCACCTCCTGTGGCTGCTGCACTCTCCAGCACATTGAGTGAGGGGTTTTTTAAGCTGTGTTAAACCCAGTATCACTAAGGCATGTCTAGATCTGCTGGAAGATACGCCTCTCCCCATTCTACATATAGATCTGCACATCAAAATGTCCTTTTCTGAATTCAATGTAATCAAATCTTATCTTTTACACCATGTTCAAGGAGAAGGGCAAGCAGTTAGAGATTTTCTTCTTGTGATTTTATTTCTATTTAGGGAGGGAAGGCAGTGCTGGATCTTATTCATCCTCCCTCTCCCTCCTGGGGAGGTTTGGGCAGTGGTGTCAAGAGGTGATGCAAACAGCAGGGTGATGGGACAGAGCTGTCCCTTTCCTGGAACAGAGATTGGAGCATGGGCACAGATAGGACAAGCAATACCCTACATCCTCTGTGTATTGGAATGGCTCAGTGGAGGTCTGAGCAACCTCAGGGGGTTGGAATGAGAGAGGCTTTAAGGTCCCTCCCAGCCCAAACCATTCTGTGATTCTGTGATTTTAACCTCTTGCAGTCCCCAGTGGTTTGTACAGCACCCCAAGGGTTGTCCCTCACCTCTGACAGGGATTCCTGAACGTCTGCCCCCACCTCCCTGGAAACATCCCTGCTGAGACGTGTTCCCTGAGCCACCCTGTGTGCATTAAGGCTCTTAAGTGGTCATCCAGGCCACCAGGCTGAGGCTGAGTCCTACCTGGGGTGTTTCCCTGCCCTCATCTCTCCTTGCCCTGCTTTCCCTGGCACTGACTCTGTGGGTGTGCTGTTCCAGGCACAGCGAGGATGTGGCTGGCTCTGGCTCTGCTGTCCGTGGTGTTCTGCGGGATGGCATCCGGGGAATGCTTCTTGAATTCCCCATCTCCTAAGAATCCAGAGGCAGGGATGAACATTGTAAGTATGATGGCATTGGAAAGGAGGTGGGAAGTGTCCAGCAAACAGCCACCATTAAATAATTACAGTGAAATATCACATTCAGGGATGTCTTTGCCGGAACCTTGAAAATGTTATTATTTATGTGAATAAATCACACAGGACTCCATTTTCTTCACAGAGGGAAAAGCCCATTCTTTATTACATAACTCCTTTTTATACAGTTTTACAGACCTCCTGTGTGACTCCAATTGGTCAGTAGCTTTCTTGCCAATTACTTTATTGGCTATTAACAAGTTGTTATTGGTCACTCAAACTCTCAGTGTGTACGTGCAAGGAAGTTGTTTGTGAGAGATTGTTTTCATTTTTCTATCTAACAGTGCAAAACCAGTTTATACACGTGCTGGTTGGGGTTTTTTTACCCAGGGATAAATTCTTATGCTAACAAACTGTTCACACCAGGATTGCTTTCACATGGGAACTTGCAAAGTGCTGGCTTTGACAAGGCCAGCCACTGATTCCAGGAGAGCAGGCTTGATTCTACGAAGCCTTTCTCTATGATTTTTCTACCTTACTGCAACAATTATTGGCTTTCTTCTTGTTGCAGAGTGAAATGATCTCGTTCTGGGGATACCCCAGCGAGGAGTATGATGTGGTGACAGAAGATGGTTACATCCTTCAGCTGAACAGAATTCCTCACGGGAGACAAAACACTGGGTGCCAAGGTAAAAGTGGTGCCATGCAGGACAAACCATTCACTGGGGTACCAGGAGTTGTGCAAGAGGGTTTTCAAAGCTCCCTGTGGCTTGGCATCAGTTTTGATAAATCAGAATTTGTCAGAAAGGCTGATCCCTTGCCAGGGGTGTTTCCTCACCCTCCATGGACCCCTGAGCACTGAATGTTTGGCTGCAATCCCTGGTGACACACCTTGGGTTCTCTCCAGAGCCTGGCTCCCAAAATGTGCTCCTGCAGCCATTTGATGGATCAGCAGATTGGTTTGGTACTCCCTGAGGAGCCTCTAGGGGATCCTGTTGTCCTGTGAGGAGGATTTAGATCCATGAAAATTGCATTTTTCCTATCATATCCTCAGGCTCCTCCATGTTTGCCTGCAGAACTCCCTGGGCAGCCCAAGTTCTGCCAACACCCCCAGAGATTCTGGGGATAAAATCCAAGATAATGGTGCATTTTAAAATGAAATCTAGAGTAACACCGACACCAACCTCCACAGATTTTGGCTGCCATGGGGATAACACTTCATGAACAGTCTTAAAAGGTGACAAACAGCATCAAAAATAAGGAGAGTCAACATGCTGCCTGTCTTGCAGGTGTGAGACCCGTGGCACTTCTGCAGCATGGGCTCCTTGCAGAAGGCAGCACCTGGCTCACCAACTTGGCCAACAACAGCCTGGGCTTCATCCTGGCAGATGCTGGCTACGACGTCTGGATAGGAAACAGCAGAGGAAACACCTGGTCCAGGAGACACCAGGTGCTGACTACCACACAGGATGAATTCTGGGCTTTCAGGTAAATGGGTTTCAGGGTCTCAGAAGCAGCTCATCCAACTTATTTTGAGTGTAAACCCCATGTGAAAACTCAATAGGATGAAGAAATTTGTGGGCTGGCCCTGCCCTCCCTGCTGGTTTTGTGGTTTGCTGGTGATGGCTGTGCACGGGCAGCTGCTGCCCCTCTCAGCAGGATGTCTGCTCTTCCTCCTGCAGCTTCGATGAGATGGCTAGATACGATCTCCCAGCCATGATCAGCTTTATTGAGCAGAAAACAGGACAGAAACAGCTCTATTATATCGGCCATTCCCAAGGCACCACTATAGGTGAGTGGGTCCTTCTGATGACAGCACGAGAAGTCTACATCCCCTCTCAGATTTGTAAAATTACTCATTGAAATTAAACTATGTGCATGAGTGTCTTGAAAAACTAAACCATTTTTTTTCTGCTGTTTTACCCTCCCTAGGTTTTATAGCCTTTTCCACTATGCCCCAGCTGGCTCAGAAAATCAAGGTGTTCCTTGCTCTTTCACCTGTGACCACGGTGATATTTTCTCGGAGCCCGTTTACAAAACTCTCATTCTTTTCTGACTCTGGCATTAAGGTTGGTCTGCACTGTGTTCTGCACAGCCAAAATGGTTTTCATAGCGATTGTGAAATTATCTATGGAGTATTTCAGGTCATTTACAGAGAGGGGAGCTCTGTGCTCTGTCTGTTTTCATAATGAAGAAAAACACATCTCATTACAGAACCTTTCAGTCCTGTCCTGAATTCACTTCCAAAATGTTCTGGCAGAATTAGATCCAAAACGTTGATGAATAAAAGTGATGCAGAGGCTGTGAATTGAGCCCTACCATTTAACACAAGATCATTAATGAATGTAAGAGATCACACCCATAAGAAACAAGGCATTTAACAGGATGCAAGAGAGGATTCACTATGGGCAACCTTAACGTGGGGATAAAATAGAAGATGTAAAGTGGTGATGCTCTGGGGAAAAGCATGACCAGACTTCCTATTTGGTGAGGAGATCTGGAATTTTACAGGAGCTGTTTGGCACCAAGGAGTTCCTACCCCACACTGCCCTGGGGGAGCACATCCTCTCCAGGTTCTGTGTCTGCTCCAAGGTCTGCAAGCACATCTTGGCTACGGTTTTCGGGTTTAACTGGAAGAACACAAACATGGTAGGTGGGAATGAATCTGCAGAGGGCCCTTCTGAAGGCCAAAGCCTTGGCAATGCCCTGTTTTGCAGAGCCAAGTGAATGCTGTGAGATGTGAAATGTGCTCATGTTCTTGCAGAGCCGATTCGACGTGTACATGGGACACATCCCAGCCGGGTCCTCGGTCCAAAACATCATCCACTGGCTGCAGGTAAACCTTCCCAGCCCCTCCTGTGCCCAGCAGAGTGTCCCTTGTCCCTTGCTGCGCTGCTTGCTGTGAGACAGACCTTTGCCAGATCTCTGTTGGTTTTGTTTTCACCCCTCCCCGAAACGCTCGGCAGATTTTGGAGCTGAGCAGCCCCAAAGGAGTGGGTCTGTCAGGAGGAACCTGTGGAGCTGAGGACCCTGCATCCACAGCAGGGCTCTTATTTCAAACCAGCTTCACTCTTGCCCTGCAGTGCCATTAGTGGTCAGACTGTGGCAGAGGTGCATCTGGACAGCAGCCAGTTAAGCTTATTACCAATAAAGCTGATTATTTCTCCTCCTTCCCCTTGTGGGCTTGAGAACACCACCAGAGCCCTTTGACACGGTAGTTGTGTTCTGCTGCATTCCTTTTCTCTTCCCCAAGCTAACAATCTGCACATTTTTCTGTAGATTGCAGACTCAGTCTGTGTATTTTCTGTGAGGTGTGTGCCACAGGCTGTGCTCAGGGCACAGCTTCTTCCCTGTGTGGAATTCCTGCTCAGGGACCCCAGAAGCACTTTGTGGGGTTTGCACAAGAACACACACTCCATTTCCTGAAGTGCTGCTGCCCAGTGAAGGGATCAAGCCACCCTGACCTGGTGTTGCTGGTAGTCCTGTTCCAGTTAGACAAGAGATGCTCAGAGGCTCCTTCCATCTTTGGTTGTGCCATTTCAGGCCAACTCTCCAGCCCACAAGGAATATTTAGAGTTCTAAACCCATTTTCCAGACCATTTTAATTTCTTCCCATCCTAGTGTTATCCACAAACATTATAAACATAAACCATTTGCCCATTTGTCCAAAATCACGACAAGAATTACTTGTGCTGGGCCTGGGGCCAGACCTGTGAGACACACTTGAAAAATCCTGCCAGTTCAGTGATGAAAACTAACTTTTGAGGGTTGACTTTTGAGGGTTGACTGCATCCCCAGAGAACTGTGATTTCACTCAGAGCACTGCATGTCTGAATTTGCTGCAGGGAGTCCATGGTGGGGCACTGAGAGCTTTTGACGGGGGGCACATGTACAACAGCCTTCACTACAGACAGGTGAGGTGCTTGCAGTGGCTTTCCCTTTCCCTCTTCTCTTCCCATGCATGCCTGCTGGGTCTCCCCTTCATGTATTTCTCCCTTCACAAGCTGGAAGTCAGGATCTCTGCTTGGAACAACAGCATTTTCCATTCTCAACTCTGTTTTGCAAATACCTTGTAAATGGAATAAAATGCTTTAAATTAGAGGCTTTCCTTTTTCCATAGGATAAGGGGAAATGGTCTCAAATAACACCAGACTGAATATTAGGAAAATTTTCTTCTCTGAAATAGTGGTTAAGCCCTGGAACATAAAAAAAAAAAAAAAGAAAAAAAAGCTTCTTTCTTCCTTAAACAAAAAAAGAATCATTCAGAAGGCAGTGTGCTTCTCAACTGGATTAATTACACTGCACGTAATGAGAGATGTTGTTGACAAATCACCTCATGGCAAGTCCTCAGGGTGTGAAGTTGAGACAAACCCTCCAAAAACGTTTTGATTTCAAAACCTTGCTCCCAAACACCTCCCTGCTGTCACTGAAGGAAGTGCTGGTGAAGTGTCACCACAAAGCCTAGCAGGGCTGGCTGGGAGGGATTTGTGGAGGTCAGGATGATCCAACAGCACTAAATCAGGACAGCCAAAGTTCTGCATCCTTATCCTGACCATTTGTAGAATCAGAACTAGAATTTCTAGCTGGGCAGAATGAATTCTCTAATAAATTTTAATTAAATTAACTCACTACATCGTAGCACGTAAAGCTATGCTGCATCTCTACTGAAGTTCTTCTCCTTTCAAGAAAAAGGAGTTCCAGTTTTCATTTCCCCCCATTCACAAAGAGTAGCAACGGTGCACAATTTGTTGCAGTCCAGCAACATCTCCTCTTTGTGAAGCCACTTTTCCATCTCCTTTTTGTGAAGTCCCTTTTCCATCTCCTCCTTTGAAGCCCCTTTTCTCTCTCCACTTTCTGAAGCCCCTTTTCCATCTCCAATTTTTGTAGCCTTTTTTCCATCTTCTCCTTGTCAAGTCCCTTTTCCCTCTCCACTTTGTGAAGCTCCTTTTCCATCTCTTCTTTGTGAAGTCCCTTTTCCCTCTCCACATTCTGAAGCCCCTTTTCCCTCTCCAATTTGTGAAGCCACTTTTCCATCTCCAATTTTTGTATCCTCTTTTCCATCTCCTCCTTGCAAAGCCACTTTTCCATCTGCTCCTTGTGAAGCCCGTTTTCCATCTCTTCTTTGTGAAGCCCCTTTTCCATCTCCTTTCTGTGAAGCCCTTTTTCCATCTCCTCCTTTGAAGTCACTTTTCACACTCCTCCTTGTGAAGCCCCTATTCCATCTGCTTTTTCTGAAGCCCCTTTTCCCTCACCACTTTATGAAGCTCCTTTTCCCTCTGCTCTTTGTGAATCCCTTTTTCCATCTCCAATTTTTGTAGCCTCTTTTCCATCTCCTCCTTTGAAGTCACTTTTCACTCTCCTCCTTGTGAAGCCCCTTTTCCCTCTGCTCTTTGTGAATCCCCTTTTCCAATTTTTGTAGCCTTTTTTCCATCTGCTCCTTGTGAAGCCCCTTTTCTCTCTGCTCTTTGTGAAGCCACTTTTCCCTCTCCATTTTATGAAGCTCCTTTTCCCTCTCCATTTTATGAAGCCCCTTTTCCCTCTCCATTTTATGAAGCTCCTTTTCCCTCTCCTCCTCATGAAGCCCCTTTTCCTTCTGCTCTTTGTGAATCCCCTTTTCCATCTCCAATTTTTGTAGGCTCTTTTCCATCTCCACTTTATGAAGCCCCTTTCCCACCCCCACTTTATGAATCCCCTCTTCCATCCCCTCTCTGTGAACCCCTTTTCCCTCTCTCAGGTCGGGGCTCCGTTCTACGACGTGCAGCACATGGAGGTGCCCACGGCCATCTGGAACGGGGGCCGGGACTGCCTGGCCGACCCCCGGGACACCGCCATCCTCCTGCCCCAGCTCAAGAACCTGGTCCACCACAAGCTGATCCCCCACTGGAACCACATGGATTTCCTGCTGGGCCTCGATGCCACCGAGGTTTTGTACCGGGAAATCCTTGACATCATGAAGAAGCATCCCTAGAGATGCTGGTTGTACTTGATACTTTTTTTTTTTAGTGCTGTTTCTAGAGGATTTTGAAATTTCTCTCTATTTGGACCATGTGAATATAGTTGATTAAAATGTTCTGCTTTGAACTGGAGCAGAGACAGGGTGGGGAGAGGAGCCTTCATGCTATTCCTGGCTGGCACTGCATTGCCTTTCTTTTTCCACTTGCTTTCCTTCTTTTTCCTTTTTTTATTTAATTTTTTTTTGTTTGTTTTGGTTTGGTTTTTTCTTTCCTTTTTTTGTTTTGTTTGTTTGTTTTGGTGTTTTTTGCTTGTTTGTTTTGTTTTGTTTTGGGTTTTGTTTTGTTTTGTTTTTTGGGGTTGTTTTGTTTTGTTTTGTTTTGGGGATTTTTTGTGTCTTCATCACTGACACAAAGCTCATTGTTGCTGTCTCAGTTCTGACACTGTTACGCTTAAAACAATCAAGGAGGATCAGAAAGAGATCCAACAGATCTGTGGTGAAAAACACCAGAATTAGGATCCCAGAATGTTTTGGGTGGGAAGGGACCTTAAAGCCCATCCACCTTCCACCATCCCAGGCTGCTCCAAGCCCTGTCCAACCTGGCCTTGGGCACTGCCAGGGATCCAGGGGCAGCCACAGCTGCTCTGGGCACCCTGTGCCAGGGCCTGCCCACCCTGCCAGGGAACAATTCCTAATTCCCAATATCCCATCCAGCCCTGCCCTCTGGCACTGGGAGCCATTCCCTGTGTCCTGTCCCTCCATCCCTTGTAAATAGTTCCTTTCCATCTTTCTCCCTTCAGGTACTGGAAGGACATCTCCCTATAGAAAAAGCAGTACTAGTGGTTTTGAATTCAATAAAAATGGTGATTAATCACACTTTTAATGTGGCTGGGTTTGGACATTATTTTTTTTTTTCTTTCAGTGACTGATATCCTGAAGAGAAATTACAAGTAAGACATCCCAGTGTGTGATTCTGATGCAGAATGTATAAAATCCAAATAAAAAGGGGCTTAGGGAATTCCCAAAGTGCTTATCTTAGGGTTTATCTCAGAGGTTTTGGTAATAAGACTGAGTGGTGATCTCAGAGGTGCCATGATGTGATCATAATTATTTTCTTTAGCCTGAAGGAAGGGCTGTTATTTTACAGGAATAAAAAATTTGGCTGTTTCTGTCAGCCAAAATCCCGAGGCCCATCAGAAAATCTCGATAAATGTGTCATTGGTGCAAGCACCAGAAGAATCAGCTTCTTTCAGGAAGAGAGATTCCAGCTGTGAGGCAAAGCAATATTTCGTGGGGAAATTACTCAAAATCATGCACTGGAGTATGATTGGATGTGCAGTCTGTCGTGCTTCATTTAAAATTCCCTGCAAGATCTCCATCGCCCTGAAAAGCAGAGTAGATCAGACAGACAACTGGGGGAGGCCAGGAAATAAATCTGGGGGAGAGCAGCCATTCCAAGTGTTGCTTTGAGTATTATATTATATTATATTATATTATATTATATTATATTATATTATATTATATTATATTATATTATATTATATTATATTATATTATATTATATTATATTATATTATATTATATTATATTATATTATATTATATTATATTATATTATATATAATGTATATTACGATATTATAATATAATATAGACCAATATATATTATGTATTATTATTATATTAAATACTATAATATAATATAATATAATATATAGGATATATAAAAATATATATTGTGTATAATTATACTTATATAGGATATCTAAAATATATCATATGATTAATATGTATTAATGGATAATATATAAATACATATATTAATTAGTATATATTAATATACTATATTATATATTATATACAGTTTATAATATAATATTTTAATATATATTATATAGTACAATACATTATAATATATTATATACTATATATTATATTATATATTGTATCTTCTATAATATTACATTATATTTAAACAATATTTATTTTTACATATAATATTATAATATATTGTATTATATATTATATTGTTATAATATAATATATAACAATATATATATTATATTATTATATTATAATATATTGTACTATAATATATAGTGTATATATAATGTAATTATATATAAAACATAAAATATAATTTAGATGTATTAATATGCATCATATATCTGTTAATACAATATAATGTATTATAATATAATACATTTTAATAATTTTATATAGTATATTATATACATTATATTAATATATTCTATTCTAATATTGTACTATATATTGGATAGTACAATATCTTATAATATATATTATATTATTATATTATATTATATTATATTATATTATATTATATTATATTATATTATATTATATTATATTATATTAATTATATTATATTTATTATATTATATCATATTATATTACATTATGTTAATTATATTATATTTATTATATTATATCATATTATATTATATTACATTATATTACATTACATTACATTATGTTATATTACCTTATGTTACGTTGTGTTATGTTATGTTATGTTATTTATACTGTTGGTGTATCAGTATATAACAGAATTCCTGGCTCTAATTTGCTTGGCAGAAGTGAAGGACCGAGATTCCTCCCTGCGGTGGCTGTCCTTGTGCTGGCCTTGCTGACCCCTGCAGTGGCTTTTGGGGAGAACCTTCCCAGGGGGACTGTGAGCCACGACGTGTTTGGGTTAGAGAAAATCTGTCCTCCCGCTTCCCTCAGCGTCCTGTCCTGAGCCTTGCTCCTCTGGAGGGCAAAGCCAGGAAGCAAAATGGAAATTTAATGGCATTTAGTTGTGAAAAGAAGCTTGCACTTGTTATAGTTTCCTGGAGTATCACGAAGCCACATTGGTTGCAGTGAATACTTCATGATTTAGTTCTTTTTTCACCCCGTTCTTTCCTAAGTATGAGCTTCCACCTCATTCCAAGAAGCTTTCTGTAAACTTGTCCTTTTAGATAATGCTCTTCACCTAATCTCTTTATTCAGTTTGTTCAAGACCATCCATTTCCAGTAAATATTCCTCTCTCTACTAAGAAAATTGCTTGTAAATTTTATCAGGTGATCAGATTATTGGATTTGGTTATTGTTTGCTTTTCTGTCTTTAAGAGATTCTCTGAGCATCTTTCTGTAGTACAAATTCTTGCATAAATTAATCCTGTTTAAACACATCTCCTTTTTTTTTTTTGAAGTCTCTTGCCAGTTCTGCAAGAGACTTTTTTTTTTGGCCCAAAGCCAAAAAAAAAATCCCCAAATTTGAAAATGCAGCTTCACTTGGTTATTTGCCATGGGGACAAAAGGGCTTTTCCTTGATTGCTTTGTCTTTTTTTTTTTTTTTTTTTTTTTTTTTCCTGTGCCTAAGTATTTTCTTTCACTTTCAAAACTCTGAAACAAAGCTGTGACCCAAATCCTGGCTGAAATGAAAATAAATCAGCTGCCAGCAGCAGGAGACATTTGCAGGTGAGACTCGTGGCACATGACAGGACCCAGAAGGTGCAGAAATAAATGAGTGAAGAACCCCCAGATCATTCCCTGGGGTCAAGAGGGTGCAGAGGGGTGACACAGCATCCCTGTTTCCCAAGCAGCTGGGAAACACCAAAAATCCCAAATTCCCAGTCAGGGTTTTCCTGTGTGCTGTTTCCCACCAGTGCCTGGTACCCTGATGGTCCCATCCCATCTGGAGGTGGCCCTGGCCTCTCCCCACCACTGCTCCTGTGACAGGTCCTGTGCCACTGCCACCACGGGCTGCCACCCTGCTCCTGCCAGCTGCCCAGTCTGGCCAGTTGTCCCTTGCTGGGAGCACTGGGAAGGCACCAGGGACCTCAGGGGACATTGGCACTGCCCTGAGGCCATCACCACCCTGCACGGGGAGAGGATATTCCACGGCCCCTGTCATTTATTGGCCCCTGTCATTTATTGACCCCTGCCATCCCATGTCCCCTGTCATTCCATGAGGACATTCCATGTCCCCTGTCATTCCATGAGGACATTCCATGTCCCCTGTCATCCCATGGCCCCTGCCATCCCATGTCCCCTGTCATTCCATGAGGACATTCCATGGCCCCTGTCATTCCATGTCCCCTGTCATTCATTCCCTGCTATCCTGGTGGGAAAGGGTGACTGGGGCCGTGCCATGCCAGACTCCCCAGCCTGCTGAGTCAACCCGTTTGTCCTCTGGCTGGCAGGTGAACATGTCCCCAAATAAAAGGCTAAATAAATAAACAAACAAACAAAGAGCCTTTTGCCACAGGGCTGGTGGGCTCCTGTGACAGCGAGCCAGGTCTGATGTGGCACCAGTGACAGCCAGACCTGCTGGTCCTGAGCTTCTCTGATTCGGTGAGCAGGTTGATTCTTTTGTGAAAGGATTAGGAAGCAATATAAAATAGTGGCCAGGACTCCAGGTCCTCACAGTTTTGTGGGTGGAATAACAGGAGCCTGGCTTTCTTTCACCTGGAAAATGTTCTTGAAGGTGTTGTTTGAAGGTGCAGCCTTGAACACAGATGTGACCCACCCTCATCAGCCTCAGCATTGTGTTGCAAATCACTGGCAACAGCCTCCAACCCTGTGCCAACTCCTGTCAACATGTTATTAGGCAATCTATTGACAGATTGACTTCAATCCTTCTCCTTTCTCTATCCAGATGCAGGGCAGGGGTTGGAATATCTTTGCAGAGCGTTGTGCAGAGACCCCAGCGTGGCTGGTGTGGTGCTGGTGTGGTGCTGGTGCTGTTGCTGGTGCTGGTGGCACCACCAGATGCTTTCCTTACGAGGATCGATGCCCTGAGCCCAGCTTTGCAGCCCCACAAGCTGCTCAGCTGACGTCAGTTTGGGTTAGAGGCAACGCTTTATCCTTTAAACATATTTATCTCTCTATTAAAAGGCGGGGGATGCAGAGGTTGCAAATTAATCCCACTGAGGTTTAATCCGCCCAGACCGTCAACATTTTTATTTTCTTTGGATTGGAGGTCCTAAAACCTTCTGCTGTGGGTGTCTTCTGCCACGTGCAGGGACTTGCAGGCAGAATCCTGCACTGCTCCACAAACAGCTGCTATCCAGCACATGTAACACAGAGGTGGCTCGGTCACAAACAATATGCAATAAACAGAATAAGGGAATCCCATGCAATAAATAGATGGGGCTGCCAGGCTGAGCAGGAGCATGCCCACCACACCTGATGAGTGGCTGAGCACTCATCAGAGAGGTGGGGAGATGCTGT